TGCCTCAGCCTCCCAAGTAGCTGGGACTACAGGCGCCCATCACAATGCCCAGCTATTTTTTTGTTGTAGTTGTCATTGTTGTTTAGCAGGCCCAGGCCGGGTTCAAACCTGCCAGCCCCAGTGTTATGTGGCTGGTGCCCTAACCACTGAGCTACAGGCGCCGAGCTGGGTATTTTATATATTTTAATTACTCCCTGGCTATTTTAATCATTGAAACTGCATTTTATTTTCTAATTATTCCAATCTTGCTAATAATTACATGCTAATGCCTATACCACAAACATTCTCTCAAGAGAAAAAATTTTTAGGCTAAGTTTACAAAATAAGTAACTGAAATTTACATTAAACTTATTCCATTGCTTTTTAGTACCAATGTGTAAAACTGAAGGACTTAGTAGAAGTTAATCATTTACTATATAGTGAATTAAATGAATATACATCTTTCTAGAAAAGCAAAGAACCAAACAAAGGTTCAGAGAAAGAGAGAAAGCAGCCCTGGGACAACGTTTGTAAAATACACACACACGTATATGTATACCTTTTGTGAGGATGGCTACAGTTTCGACACCCTTGTCTTCATCCTGTAGGTCCTGAAGGAAGGATCCAACTGTTGACAACATTGGCTTGACTACAAATTGACAACGCTCTTTTCTAGATGGCAAAGTAAGTGTTATCAAGGGAAGGCCATGTCTGTAATTAACTGTTATTTCTGTTAAGAAAAGAAAAATTTTATGTTAACAGGAAATTCTTAAATATATGAATTCTAAAAGGAATGCTTAGACATGAAGTTCACAGTACTCTAACGTCCTTTACATGTAAAAGTTCATCTTGCATATACAGTGCTTTCATAATACACGTGCTACAGTTTACATACCATCTACCATTCTCTAACATTTTAATGTAGCATGTACTACGCTGTATTATAATCATCTGTTTACAAAGTCTTCTGCACAGAGTTAAGTTTGTAAGGACAGAAATTATTTCTTATTTATCTCTAACTTCTCCAATTACTGGAGTGAAAATCTGACAAAAGACAGCAGAGATTATAGGAACAGAAAAGGGAGGACCTAAACCTAACCAGGGAGTAGGTAGGATGGAGATAGTGCAAAAAACTCCTATTTTATTAAAAATTCACAGCACTCACTTAATTTAGAGAAAAGCAAACAATTAGCATTCGAATCAAAGAAGTGATAAGAAAGCTTACCATCAAGTGGCACCACTGTACTATAAAGGTGTGATTGGTAGTATTTCAGATTTCCACACAGCTTCACACACAAAACCTGTAGGAGACAAAGCTTACGTTGTTTTTTCAAGAGTGCGAAAGTTGAAACAGATGTCTTTACCAAAAGATTCTTTTTAATCTTGCATGACAAGTACAATGGAAAATTCACTTCCCACACACCCCCCAGTAATCCCTCAGGAAAGCTCACTAAACCTCTTTGGCTGTATGCTTTGCTGTTATATACACGGTAGCTGTAATACACTGGAACACAGTTCTTAATACACTGAAACCGAGTTCTTAAATTGGGGCAAAAGGACTCCTGAAAAATCCTAGAGTTCTGTGGAAAGTTTAAAATTTGGTTTTTCCTTTTAGGTAACGATCTACAGCAAATGAACATGAGCATATATATTCTAGATAACATGCTTCTCAAAGTATTGTCCCCAGTCCAGAAGCATTGGCAACCCCATGGCTCTAATTAAAAATGCACAATCACAGACTCAGCCCAGACTTACAGAATCGTAATCTAGATTTTAACAAGATCCCCAGGTGATTCACAGGCACATTAGAGTTTGATAAACACTGCTTTAGATCTGTGCTATCCCATGTGGTAGCCACAGGTCCTATGTGGCTATCTAAATTAATTCACATTACAGAAAAGTAAAATTTTTTTAGTGCCTGTTGCCATGTTTTAAATGCTCAATAGCTGTGTGTACCTAGTGGCTGTCCTGCTGGAAAGCAAAAGCACAGGAATAGAACACTTCATCATCACAGAAATGGAAGTGCTGAGTCTACGACATCTGAATTGTCACTTCATCATGGAACATGTTTTTAGAGCTCGCATTGGTGTTTGTGTTTACAACTGTATTGGTGATTAATGAAAGCCAAACGATGTCATGATGCACTGTGTGAACAAAATATTGTGTAGTAGGAAGAAAGGGCATTGAGGAATTGGTTCAGGTACTTAGAACTCAAAAGAATCGTGTCAGAGGAATTTGTGCCATAGTCACAACATGGTGGCTATGCCATATTGATTCATTTTTTAAATCCATCACCTTGCAATAAATTATTAACAATCATTTGCTATTAATTGTACAGTAAATTCTTTTACAAATTGCAATTTTCAAATTTTCAGGATTTGATGGTGCACTATTAAAACAATTAATCAGTAGTTAAAGTGTGTTCACAGTTTGAAAACATAAAAAAGATAACTCTGGACTAGGTGTGGTGGCTCACAGCTGTAATCCTAGCACTCCAGGAGGCCGAGATGGGTAGACTGCCTGCGTTTATGGGTTTGAGAGCAGCTTGAGCCAAAGCAAGACCTCGTCTCTAAAAATAGCTGGGCATTTTGGCAGGCTCCTATAGTCCCAGCTACTTGGGAGGCTGACACAAGAGAATCACTTTTTGAGGTTGCTATGAGCTGTGACGCCATGGCATTCTATCCAGAGTGACAAAGTGAGACTCTGTCTAAGAAAAAAAAAAGAAAGAAAGAAAAGATAACACTGATTCAAATAATGTCCCAATATGTGCAAAGTGAAAAGAATCTCATTGATAAGTCAAACAAAAAATCTGAATACATGTTATGGTATTAAACACAAAATAGGCAATTATTGTTAATAAAATAATCGTCTTCAGATTAAGGCAGTTCATGTGAGTTTTATTTCTAGAAATGTAATTTATTACTAAGATGAAAAAAGTATATGTCTTAAAACAGATGCAAATTTTAATAAATACATGCAGAAGTTCTCCAAGTTTAGATAATGGCTATTACAATGCTATCTTTAGTAAAACTACACCAAATTGAGAAAAATATATCTACTTGAAAACACACTAGAATTAATTCTCTATCAGAATACTTCTTTAAGCTAGGAGCTGTGACTCACACCTATAATCCTAGCACTTTGGAAGGTTACAGCAGGAAGACTGACTGGGGTCAGGAGTTTGAGACCAGCCTTGGCTAAAGAGATATCATGTCTCTACAAAAAATAAAATATTAGCCAGGTGTGGTGGCATGTGCCTCTAGTCCCAGCTACTTGGGAGGCTGAGGCCAGAGAATTTCTTGAGCCCAAGAGTTTCAGGTTACTGTGAGCTATGATGCTATGGCACTCTACCCAAGGTGACAGAGTGAGACTTTGTGGGAGGAAGGGAGGGAAGGAGAGAGGAATGAATGAATGAATTAGGAGCAACCACATGATTTCATAAAGTATTATTAGTTTTAGGATTCTGATAATGTATCATCAAGCTTTTGTGGGAATTTTTTTTTAATATTCTCTCAATATAACCCTAAATTAGGAGTAGTCTGAACCCAAACATGCAAATCTTTATAAGGTCAGAATTAAACAATAACATGTTTAAGCAGCCTCAGAGCAACATGCCTCCCTCTCGCCTGATGCTCACTCCCCAAGCAAACTTACTAGATGTTTTTACTCAGGCAACCCACAGATACAGCAAATGCAACACTGTTATTCCTTTTCTTGATAAACTGGCTCCAGTTAGTACCAGTCAGTAGAACCAGAGGGCTAAGAGTCATCCTCAACTACTAACATTCCACAAAATCAACCGGTAGGTTATACAACTGAACTGTCATAAGGCCTCTCAAATCCATCTTCTCTCCTTCATCCCCTTGGTCCTAATTGAGATCTTTATCATCTCACATGGATTATTACAACAGTTCCTAACTGGCTTTCTCCATCCATTCCAAATCTAAATCCATCCCAATCTTCTAAAATCAAAGCTGACTATTGCTAATTTAAAGACTTCTGTTGCAAAGAGAATTTCAAAAAAGCTTTCCATGAGTTCATTCTTATCTACTTCTCCAGCCCCACCTTATCATCCTAGCACCTGCCGCCCTGTTCAGACACACCCAACCTGTTACAGTTTCTTGACTATGGTATACTGCCACATGCTTCCTTGCCTTTCATTTAATCTCCCCCTGCATGGAAGGCCCTGCCCAGTGCACTTGTTTTGCGTGGCTAACTCTTACTCTTAACCCTCTCATCTTCTCACCATGAAATCTGTAGAACTCTGCTTTACCACCTCTTCCTTTCTTCCTACTGCAATAAGCCCTCTTCTTCCAAAGCCAGTCCTTCCTCAGATGCTTGCCGTCTTGTATCCCTCCGGCTTTCTCCCTCGATAGTGTCTCTCTTACAGCACTACCTCTCACCTCTATACAAGTACATACACATATGTCAGCTCACCATGCAAACACACACTAGTGATTCTCATCTTTAAACATTGCCAACCCTCTGATAACCACATATCCTTCCAGCTACTGCCCCATTTGTGGGCTTTCCTTAGCCCATGTTTCAGTTTGTCCACTCTGCCTGTTTCCTCATTCTCAATTCCCTCTTCATACTGCCATCTGGCATCAGTCTCCAGCCCCTCAGCTTTCTGACCCAAACCTCTCCTGAGACCCAGAGTAGAACATCCAAATGTTGGATTAATGAGATCTCCCCCTTTATAATCACAGACATGGGAGACTGAATTTATTGGGAACAAAACTCTTGATTTTTCTGTAAAACCTCTTCCTCTGGCCCTATCTTCCCTCTGCAATAACTGACTCACAACCTTCCCCTAGTTGCTCAAGGCAAACCCAGTGTTCTTATCCATCATTTCCAGCAAGCTGTCAAATATACCTGCACACTTTATCCACTTCTCTCCATCTTTATAATGCTCTGGTCCAGGCCCCATCATTTTTGTACCAGTTTCCAAACTAGTTTCTACCCTTACTTCCTTCTAGGATGTCCTCCTCAAAGCAGCAAAAGTGATCTTAAAATGTGAATAGAATTACCCTATTCTTCCACTGAAAGTTCTTCTATAGATCCTCTTTACACATCAACAAAATAAAAGCTTATCAGCTCAGCACCTATAGCTCAAGCGGCTAGGGCGCCAGCCACATTACACCAGAGCTGGCAGGTTCAAATCCAGCTCTGGTGCACCAAACAACAATGACAACTACAACCAAAAAATAGCC